GGAAAAGCCCCTCTACTCTCCAAATATCACCCCATTAACTGGTGACCTGCAAGGAAGTTCGATCATGAACAGCTAATCCAACCGGAAAATATGTCCGAAGTATTTGTTATACAGATAGGCTCTGGCTTTGCTTTGTGTTCGTTTGGTTTGGTTTTTTTAACTGTAAAATTCAAGAATCTGAAAAATTCTAAGAAAATCTGACCTCAAACAGCGAGGCCTGGCCTATAACAAAACAAATTAAACAAAATCTTAAAAAATAGTAATAAAGCTATACTCAACTTTACTATAACTGAAGAAATTCCAATCAAACAGTGAAAATGATAGTAGATACTGCAGGCCAAGTTGCTAAAAAACTGGTACCTTGTGGCACTGCTCTGTGAACTGGTACAGCCCTCCTGGACAGCAATGTAGCAACAGCCTACGAGAGCCAAAAACATGTGCCCTTTAACCCAGAAATCTTGCTCTTGGGAATTCACCCTAAGGAAAGAATCTACAATAAGGATGAAGCCATATCTCCAAGTATTATTTATAATAGCACATAACCATAGGGGAAAAAATCTAAATGTCCAGTAATAGATGAATGGTTAAATAAATTCAGTCTGTGAGATGATACATTTTAAGACCATTAAAAATCATCTTGAAGACTCTGTAACCATTTGGAAAACCTTTGCTTAAGGTTTACTGAAAAGAGCAGAATACAAAATTGGGTCTACATATGATTACAGCTCTATAGAAGTATGCCTGCATTCAGACAAGGGCTAAAAGAAAAATGAAAACAGTTGTGTTAGGATGGTGAGCTTATGGGTGAACTTTTTTCTTTTGTTTCATTTCCTTTATTGTGGTTACAGCATTTTATTTTGTGAAATAAAGAGAATTCACAGGGTGTACATGCAGCTCAACTCAGACTCAAAAGGATGAATGAGGAATCTGGGAAACCAGTATGCTAGTTTTGGGCATGGGACAATACAGAGTCTCCATCCTGTGCTCTGCCTGGGGCCCTCCAATCGCATCGCTTAGCCAGCAAGGCAGGCTGACCAGGAAAGGGATGCTCAGAGAAGCCACACGACTGATCCAAGGCTGTCTGACACCACCAGATGACAGACAGAGGATGAGCCTCCAGACTACTTTGCTCGAAAGCCCTGGCCCATCTTGTCCACTACCGTGGCCTCTAATTCCAAGGTACCTTCCTTCTCTGGGAAACAGTCTCCTCCTCAATAAAACAAAGAGATGAACACTTACTTTCAGAACTATGTGAATCTGACCACCTGCATCTGGTTCATAGATCATCTGCATCCAACACACCTGCACTGCAGGTTAAAGCCCCAACCCAAACCTAGCGAATCAGAGAGTATCTGGGACTGAAGTACCTGAATGTGAATTTCACGAGTCGCCCAGGCAGTTCTTTAGGCATGGGGATAATTGAGAACATTAGTCTAAGAATCATGCAAACACCTGCCAAGTCCAAACACCCAAACTCAAATGTCCATCTCCCCCTAAGACAAAAAAGAAAATCTGCCGGATGTGGGGGAAAAAAACATTTAGAAGCCTATACTTGCTCAAAGAGCACTTAACCTCAAAGTTAAAGTGTTAGAACACAAGAGAGTGACCTGTGTTTCTCAGACACATTTTTTTCTGGCAAAACAATTCCTGAGCAACCAGATAGTATCCGATTTCACATGCCCTGTGTTTAGCATAATGCTGGAAGCACAGTTAAGTGCTCAAGATGCTTGCTGAAAAAATGAGTGAATGAATGAATAAGCAGGTAGTATGTAGTGTCTGCATCCCACTGTATTTAGTATCTGTTTGCCCACGCTGTGTAAGCTCCGTGACACGGGGGGTGGGCGTAGATCCTCCCTCTTGTTCTGCGCAGTGTCACGGTGGCCCCAGCCACTCGAATCGGGCCTGGGGTCCTGTGCACTTGTAGACAGTAGTTGAGGAAATGAACAGCAGACACCAGCAAGAGGCAGACAAAAAAAGTGAATGCTCCCGGATCCAGTCATCTCGATCATAAATGGATGCCGTTCCTACGAGGAGCAGGAAACAGGCAGCTTCTCAACCGAGTGCAGACCGTGCCCTGGGCCCGGTGCTTCCACACTCACGAGTCCTCAAGGAAACCTCACAACTACATCAAGTAGACTAGTAACAAGGAACTAGGACTAAATGGCTTGCCCTAAGACACCGGCAGTAAGGAAGAGACCGGGATTCAAAACCTTATTCTTTACAGTCTAAGTAGAAGATAGTCAAACACAGAAAACCAGAGGATGAAAGAAATGTAAGTCTAAAATAATGTCCCTTCAAGGAGCCACAGTCCCAAGGAAAGCCACACAAAGATCGCAGGTGCTTCCAGAGGAGGCGCCAGGCTGGCCTCAGCCAAGGTGTGCACAGGGGGTGGCCCTTGCTAGCAAGCGCCTCTTTAGACAGTGAGTCCCAGCTGGTCGTCGTGGGGCCCATCTCTCTGCCTTCAAGCAGTAATGGCAGCACCCACACCGCCCCCCAAATCACCAGCAGCTGCAGACACTTCAGAATCCGACAGACGGACGGACATCGCCCTCCGAGCCCTGCAGCATTCTGTCGGGTAGAATCGCTGAGCACCCCCAGGGGGGCCACCTCATAGGCAACTCAAAGGCTGACTCTGAAATCAAGCTGGCCTGGATTTAAGTCCTGCCTTTACCATTTGCTGACCTCAAGACCTTCATCTCTCGAGCCTCAGCGTCCTCCACTAGAGAGGGGAGTAGTAAAAAGCTTCCCTCATGGAGCTGTTCTGAGGACTAAATAGGACAATCCCTGAATGGACCTAACACAGGGTGGGCACACGGTAAAGGTGTAGAAAGGGATTCCTGTTGGAACAGCTAGCAGGGGCCCTGTAAAATCTGATCTGAACATGACACGGTTCCCCAATTCGCAAGCACAAAGACCACCTGGAGGGTCTGCATTCTCTACTAATGTTTTCCCATTCCGCATAAAAAGCTTCACATATTAACACAGGGCAGAGACTTGTCATTTTTAATAGGCATGGAGTTAGTACCTATTCCTCTCCCCAGGGATCTAACTTTTTAATGATTTCCACATTAGATTTAACATTAAATGCAAATTGATCCATAAAGTCATCTAATTAGAAATTAAGCAGGCCATAGACATTGCCTAGAATTTAATTAGGAGAGCACCATGATATGATGAGAAATGCCCCTCACTAGGAGGAGAAGCTGGGGGGTTGGAGCTCCACCTCAGCCAATCACTGCCTGAGATCTGGAAGGCTACTTAGCCTGTCTGGGCCCCTGCAAAATGAAGAAGTGAGATTTCAAAGATCCTTTCCGGAAAGCCAAAGAAGAGAAATCTATAATTCAAACTGCTTCAGTAACCACTCATGGAGCAACAGGCTCTGGAAATGCAAAAACTCAGTCATGCCTTGAGGAGTTTTCAGATTATGGAAACCACAGCCTGTTCCATCCACCAAAAAACACCCTGGGCTTGCGAAGCGGAAGGGTTCGAATTTCCACTGTAGGCAATGCTACCTGGCATGCATTCCTCCCTCCAGGCATGCCCTCGCCTCTTTGGGGAGCCTCTATCCTCTGTTTATTTCCCAAGGCATAATTCTCAAGTCACAGAGTCTCAGAGCTCTTAGCTCAAGACTGGTGGAGCTGGTCAAGCTCTTTGCAATTTAAACCAATACCCCACCCTACCTCCAACCCAGAGCTTCTCCCAGATCCAATTCTGAAAAGGTTGCTAAGATTTATCTCAGCACTGCTTGTTCTTTTCAGCGCAAAAGAATCCTTGTGCCTGGCCTGGCCTTTGAGCCAAAAAAGTGGAAGTGGGAGAGGAGAGGAGATGTGCTGGAAAGCCATCTGGAATGAGCAGCGTACCACAGGGTCTGAGAGCTCGACCGGTACGCAGCGTGGCTGGAGGCTACCACAGCCTGCCCTCAGCAAGGCCTGAGGCTGCCTCAGCAGCAGCATCTCCCTCTCGGGGAGCTTGTGGGGCAATGTCTTACCCTTGTTAATGTGAGTGGTATCTGCCGACACTCTCCTCACATCCCACTGGGGGACAAGGACATCCTTTAGAATGTGCCACGCAGCCCCTCCTCCTCCTCCAGACAGAGTTGAAGACCCCCAGGCATCTTCATCACTCCCCAGACTGCTCTCATTTTACTCTGTTCAGAGTCAGCAAACACGGGTTGCTGCTCTTGGAGAGAGTGGGAGGAGGGAGCGTGGGATGATCCAGGCCAGGAAGTAGCTGTCCCCAGCCCTGAAAATCTCAGAAAGCAACCACACAACTCAGAGGTGGCTGTTCAGAAGATGTTCAGAACCCCCAAGAACATCCTCAGACTCCCAAGAACACCCCAGGGCAAAGCTTTCAAACTCTTAAAAGTTAGAGAGCTGCCCTTAATTGAACATAATGATACGTGTAAAGCCTATGGAAGTAAAATTTAGACTACTCAACCCAAATTCAGGTAGAGGAAGATACTTAAATAAGGTAACATTAGTGCAGAGGATAATGGGATTTGATGAAATGTCTCCATTTTTAAAAAGCCTGGATTGCAATAAAACAAATGTAGAAAAGCATCTGACTATAGGCTAGCCTTGGACTCTACTTGAGAACCCTACGGGGATAAAATAAGAGTGTAATTTAGAGAAAAAAAAAAAAAGAAAAGAAACAGGATTCAAAAATACCCCTACACAAAATCAAAATGTTATTCTTACACAACTCCACAGGTGAATTATGTTGATAATGCTATCTGAAAAGGAAGTGGGAGAACATCAAAATCTTTACAGAAGAACCACATGACTCTATAAACCTGACACCAAAGCCCCTGACCCACAAGAGCTTGGATTGGGGGGGGGAGGCCAGGGGCTACACAAGGACAGTGAGGAAGAGGATGGTAACATCACCTGTGCTTTCCCTCTGAACTGTACAGCTTAAATCACTTCCACTTTCTTCTTCTTTGACGCCCCAAGACAGTCCTGTGCGGGGGGGGGGGATGCCTGCTTATCTCTGTTTCATACCCTGAGAGGTGAGGAATCTGTCCCCACAGCCAACAGGTGACAGGTGCAGCATCTCAGCCTTAGGTCATGCCGGGGCCAAGCATCATCCATGAAGCACAAGGATTTATCTTTCCCAGGTATGTTCAGGCAGCTCTGTATGAGAGATAGTGGGAGGAGACGGTACGGTTGTGAGCTTATTTTGAGCTATGACTACCAGAGCCGTACTTACCCCACCTCACAAAGCATGAGGTTAGGGGGAAAAGAAAGCTACTTCTTCCTCCTATATCTCAATAAAGATGCATATGAGCCAGGCATGGTTCTAAACACTTTACATACATTAACTCATTTTACTCTTACAACAACCCTACGAGGCAGGTACTCCTATTAATACCCACACCGTACAATTCTGGAAACAGCAAGATTAAGTAATTTGCCCAAAAGCAAAGAGCTGGAAACCAGTGGTGAGACAGGAGCCAGGCGATGTGAGCCCAGATGCTGCTCACTGCCTCAAAAGACATCCCCATGTTAGTGGATTCAAGCCTGCCACGGACTTGGGGTGGGAGGTGGGGTACAGAACCCTCCCAGCTCACTGATAATACCACACAAAGCCTCCTTGACTTCCAGATGCTTCCAACTTTCAGAAACATGCAGGTCACCTCCCCCCACCCACCTCCCGTTATTGGGTTACTGCTGGAGGATCGTGTATTAAGGCAAACACCACTTTGACATAACCTAATAACCACCCCATCTCGCAGCATTCGGCAAGAATGAGTGCTACAGGGCACACGTGCAAACTTGATTCTCGGGCCAGGAGTGATTTCTGCGGGAAGTGTAATTCCATTGTCCACCTCACCCAGCACATCTTACATCCATAAAACACGAAACCTCCATCAGTCAGGACACCCAGGGATGGAAGGCCCTGCCTCCTGACCCATGTCTAGCAGGTGCCGCTAGACCCCATCTGGTGACAGAAAGTCAAACCTAATCTGATCTTTCCATTTGGAAACGTAATACCAAAGGTACACACATAGCTGGATATGGAAGGCAGCATGATCACAGAGACCTATAATTGTCCCATATTCAGTTCTGCTGCTTACTTATTTATTAGCTCAAAATTACTCCTGATATTGTAGCCTATGATCACTATAAACGGCATTCAGTACAATACTGACCATATGGGCAGACTTGACTGGCAATGGCTCATTCTCTAAAGAAAATTTACAAATTCACTCAGAAACCATTCAGTACAGCCAACTATGGGATGTGGGTCTGTACCTGCCCTGGAGAGAGCTGAAAGATCCTGCTTCAGATCCCAACCCAGTTGGTCACCCGGGAGCAAGAGAGGCTGTGACCTCAGGGCAAGAAGCCATCCGACTCCCAAGCAGGGAGTTGAGCACTCTGCTGCTGACTTGGAACAGAGTTGCCCAACGAGAGCTGACAGGCCCATTTTGACCCACCATCTCTTTTTGTATGACCCAGGAGCTAAGAACGGTCTTTACATTTTGAAATGGTTAAAATAAAAAAAAATTTAAAAACCAAAATCAAAATAATAATAAATGACAGGGCGCCTGAGTGGCTCAGTCCGGTGAAGCATCTGATTCTTGATCTCAGCTCAGGTCTTGATCTCCTGGTGGCAAGTTCGAGCCCCACACTGGGCACCACACTGGGCGTGGAGCCTACTTAAAAATAATAACAACAACAACAAATGACAGCATTCACATCTCAGTGTCCACGAAAAAACGTTATTAGAACGTGTCTGTTGGTTTGCATAGTGTCTGCCATCTATGGCTACAGGCACGCTACCACCCAGGGCTGAGCAGTGGCGCAGAGACTACGGGGCCCGTGAAGTCCAAAATATTTACTATCCGGCCTTTTCCAGAAAAAAGCCTGCTGACCCCCGACTTAAAAGAACTGCTAGGAACAAGACCTTGGGAAAAAACCTAAAAGGAATCCAGGAGGAAAACACGAATGGTCGCGTCTTGACCACCGTCTGACATGCAATGGTTCGGCAGCGGCAAGGACAGACGGTCCTCAGCGAAGGGGAAGGGATGTCAGGAGGAGACGGGTAGTCCAAGGGCTACGAGAAAACCCTGTGCATTTCTAGCCACCCTCGGCACGGCAGAGGCACCCCTCTAAGAGAGAAAGCGAGGCTAGATGGGGGTCCAGGGATTCGGCATGGCCTGCTACTCCAACTCAACAGAGAAGGGAGGCAGAGGGAAAGAATCAGTGCAAGTTCTCACCAGAGCTGAGCCCACCCCCACCCCCTTCCAGCCCTCGGCAGGAAGCGGACAGCCAGAGGACACGGAGCCTGTCCTCTAGGCTATGTCTCCGTCACTAGGCTATGCCTTCTTTGTGATGTTTCTTAGTGCAAAAAAGGCAAATGACAGTCTCGGTTGTGAAGGGAGGGTCCGCAGGGTGAACTAGGAAGTGAGTACAACATCCCTTTGTCAAGTTTTTAAAACAACAAATGATGGGGCGCCTGGGTGGCTCAGTCGGTTAAGCGACTGCCTTCGGCTCAGGTCATGATCCTGGAGTCGCTGGATCGAGTCCCGCATCGGGCTCCCTGCTCGGTGGGGAGCCTGCTTCTGCCTCTGACCCTCCCCCCTCTCATGTACTCCCTCTCTCTCATTCTCGCTCTCTCAAATAAAAATAAATAAAATCTTAAAAAAAATAAAAAATAAAAAAAAATAAAAAATAAAAAATAAAACAACAAATGATGGAGGATGATCCTTATCCTTCTGTCCCCATACACCTCACCACCTCTGTTAATCTGGGAACTCCTAGAGCTGGGGTTGCCAGATTCAGCAAATAAAAAGTCAGGATGCCCAGTTAAGTTTGAATTTCGGGTACACGACAAATTTTTTACCCTAACTCGGTCACAAACGTTGCTTTTTGGAAACTCAAATAATGAGAAAGACTTATACTAAAAAAAGTACTGGCCGTTTGACTGATATTCAAATTTAACAGGGCATCCTGAATTTTAGCTGGCAACTAAAATCCAAATCGTGCATGGGAGGTGACTCCTCGCCCCCAGCCTCTGCCGGTGAAGATACTGCAGGGCAGGTCCTGTCTCGGGGAGCCCTGCTTGCACTCACAGGATGGTGGCTCCCCAGTGTAGGGGTGGCCTGCTTCCAGAAACAAGCTTCCCCAGGAGCAGAGCACCTGTGCCCTGAGCCCGATTGAAAGCAATGATCCCTGAACCCTTTCCCCAGCCACCATCTGAACCCAAGACACACATCTTCTCACCCTCGGCCCCTGGGCTCAATTCCGTTCTCTGATCCTTCAAAAAGCCCTTCCCAACTGGAAACGATGTCTTCTCTCCCTCATGCCTGTTCGCTAGACCACAAGGTGTTTCTTCCAACCCTGGGCTTTGTCTCTGATGAAGGAATGACTCCAGGACATGAATTTAAAGGAATCTAGGAGACGAAGGTGTTGAAACCATATTATGTTAGATGGTCCTGAACAGGAGCCAGAAACAGTAAGTGAGGACAACCACACCCCTACCCCCAGGTAAGCTCTATACGGGCAAGGATTTTTGTCTGTTTTACTCACATCCATGCCCCTGATGCCTAGGACAGTACCTGGCACCTTTTGGCACTCAATGGATAACTGGGGTTGTTACCAGCTGAACAGTGTCCCCCAAAATTCACATACTGAAGCCCTATCCTTCAGAATGTGATGGTGTTTGCAGACAGGGTCTTTAAAGAGAGAACTCACGTAAATGAACTGGCAAGGCGGGCCTTAACCCAGCATGACTGGAGGCCTTATACGAAGGAGATGTGGACACACACAGAGACCACATGAGGACACAGAGAGAAGGTGGCCATCTGCAAGACAAGGAGAGAGACCTCAGAAGAAACCAAACGTGCCAACAGTTTGACCTTGGACTCACAGCCTCCAAAACTAGGAGAAAATAAATTTCTGTTGTTTAAGCCACCCAGTCTGTGGAATTTTGTGATAGCTGCCCTGGGAAAGTACTACTGAGATTAATGAATAAATGAATGAATGAGAGTGGGAAGAGCCCATGCCTGTCTGGTTCTCCATTTTCCCTTGGGTACTTATGCCAGCACATGATGAGCTCTTGTTTAAAAATGCCAGCAAAGCAGCCAGTCTCTCCCCAGAGCACCACTGGGGGCTGACCAGGCCGAAGCTGCTGGGGACACAGATATGGGCACAGTTTCTATCACTCCACTCCCAGACCTTCCCGCTTCTGGGACCAGCTGTTCAGGAGGCATCTGTTCTCTTGACCAGAGAGCGGCAGGTGAACAGCCCTCAGAGGCGATTACTTCAGAGTTTTCCACTGGCTACCACATGTACGTTCCAACCTTACAGACAGAAGAGAGTCTAGGAACAAGTACTTCTGGGCATTAGTGTAATGATGTGATGCCTGGAGCTGCTGCAGCCATTTGCTCACCATGAAAGAGAGAAGCTGACATGTAAACAGTGAAAAATGGTAAGAACCAGGTCCTTGACTAGGTCACTGAGCTGCTGAGCTAACCAACCCTAGGATCACCTGACCTCTGGACTTCTAATCTTGGGAGATAGAAGATCTCTTTATTCTAAAGCCATATGAGTTTGTCTGTCACTTGCAGCTAAAAGCCTCCAGCTATAATACATGAGCTGGAATGCTGCCAGTATTGACTTTCTGGTTTTACCAGGCAAAATCTATAGATCCTGACTTTTTCAAGTTTGGAACCTTTTTAACATCAAAACATTCTACAGACAACCGATCTAGTAGCAGTAGTAATTTTAGTATCCAATATCTAAAGGCCAACAGAGGACCACAACTTCCAGTAGTTTCTTTTTTTTTTTTTTTTAAAGATTTTATTTATTTATTTGAGAGAGAGAGAGAGAGAGCGAGCACAAGCAGAGAGAGAGGCAGGCAGAGGGAGAGGGAGAAGCAGGTTCTCCACTGAGCAGGGGGCCAGATGTGGGACTCGATCCCAGGACCCTGGGACCATGACCTGAGCCACAGGCAGACACTTAACCAACTGAGCCACCCAGGCGCCCCTCCAGTAATGTTTCTTAAGTGAATCTGCATTTTAGACAGCTAACTCTAACACATCTAAAATCACTTGGGCATCATGTTAGACAACACACACTGCATTAAATGAGCCTGCGGACAATCCTGGGTGTGCATACAGGTTTGGGGA